GGCAGCCCTAAGAAGTATTGGGGAGAGGTAGTTAGGCAGGACATGTTATTGCTCCAGCTTACCGAGGATATGACCGATGATAGAAAGGTGGGGAGGTCGAGGATTAGGGTTGTAGGTTGACAGATAGTAGTGTGTTCCTTATAGGCTTAACACTAGTACTAGGATTATTTTTGTATTATCTTATTCATGGTTCTTTACTTTTTGTTTTTTTGATGAAATAAGGTGTTTCATTAGCAAAAGGCATCAAGAAGATGCACGTTACAAAAGTAATGAAATGCAGAAAAAAGAATAAGAATTGTAGCTCCCTTTACAATGTCAATCTAAGACCAGGGAGCTAACAAAGTCCAAAAATTGGTCAGTGCTAATTACAGAAGCTAATTTAGTTCAACAAAAAAGATTGAGTAGGCAAATAGCTTTGAGAGTGTGATTTGGAGTTGAGATTCCATCAAAACATCTTCTATTCCTTTCATTCCATAAACACCAAAAAATAGCACCAGGGATCATCAACCAGATTTTTTTGATGGTCTTGTCAACTCTCCATAAACTCCAGCTCAAGTGTGCCTCTTTCATATTCTGTGGCATGACCCAAATCAAGCCAAAAATGCAAAGGAACATATTCCAAAGGTCAAAAGCCACAGGGCAATGCAAAAATAAGTGGTTGACAGTTTCTGCATCTCTCAGACATAGATAACACCTGTTGACCAACTGGAAACCTCTTCTGTTGAGGTTGTTTTGAGTTAAGCAGGCCTCATTGAGGGCAATCCAGTTGTGGCAAATGACTTTGATAGGCAGTTTGGTCTTCCATATTAACTTCCAGGGCCATGCATCTAACACCTGGTTCTGGAATCAGTCTGCCTGTAGCATTCTTTTACTGTGAAGGTGCCCTTGCTTCCCCAGCATATGTTATCTGGTTGGCTCACATCAATATTGTACCCCTCCACTTTTGCTAGCAAATCAAATAGGCTATCAATTTCCCAGTTTTGCACTGCTCTTCTAAAGTGAACATCCCAGTTGCTACCATTTCTGTTTTGATCTATAGAGGAGTTCTGGTGTAGAGCAATCTGATATAGGCTAGGAAACTCATCCATGAGTGAAGAGTTGTTTAGCCATTTATCTTTCCAGAATCTTATGTGAGCCCCATTGCCTGGTTTGAAGTGGATGTACTGGAAAAATTCACTCCCGAATTTACTAATGTACTTCCAAGGACCCACACCATAAGGTGCATTAGAACTTTTAGTGCTCCAGTTATCTCTTTTCCCATGCTTGACAATGATCACTTCCTTCCATAGGCTTGATTCTCCCGTGCCAAATCTCCCAAGCCACTTCATTAATAGGCATTTATTGTGGGCTGCTAGATCTCTAACTCCCAATCCTCCATTGCATTTCGGCTGAGTGACTGTGTCCCACTTTATTAGATGAAATTTGTGGGTGTTGCTATTTCCCTCCCATAGGAAGTTTCTCCTGGTTCTGTCCAATTGCTTTAGTACTTTCTTTGGAATGGGAAACAATGACATGAAGTATGTTGGTATACTGTCAAGCACACTGTTGATGAGAGTTAATCTGCCACCCGTGGATATATATTGAAGCTGCCAGGAGGTTAGTCTCTTCTCAAATTTTTCAATGAATCCCATTCCATACCTCACAGTTTTTGAACTTAGCACCCAATGGTAGGCCCAAGTATGTTGTAGGTAGAGTCCTAATGCTGCAACCCATAATGCCTGCCAGCTCCTCCACATTAGGCACCTGATTGATAGGATAAATTATGCTTTTCAGCACATTTACATGTAACCCTGACAGAGCTTCAAAGAGGAGAAGAGTGAGGTTCAGGTACATAGACAACAACAACAACGACCCAGTATAAATCCCACAAGTGGGGTCTGGGGAGGTAATATGTACGCAGACCTTACCCCTACCCCAAAGGGTAGAGAGGCTGTTTCCAGGAGACCCTCGGCTCAAAAAAGCAACAGCATATCATCAGCATATAACAGGTAAGATCAAAGTATACATAACTTGCGACTTATCTGCCTCACAGAAGATCAAAGTATCATCAGCATATAACAGGTAAGAAACGGTGACTGAGTTCCCAATATTGGAGCCTACTTTTAATCCCTGAATCCACTGCATTTCTCTGGCTTTTTCTAGCATCTTGCTTAGTCCCTCCATGGCTAGAATGAACAGGAAAGGGGGGAGTGTGTCTCCCTGCCTGATCCCTCTTTGAGGGGAGAAGAAGCCCACTGGTTCCCTATTGACTAAAACTGAGTACTTCACTTTTGAGATGCTGAATCTGATCCACCTTATCCATTTGTCTCCAAATCCCATCTTCCTCAGTATAGAGATTAGATAGGACCAGTTTAGTTTGTCAAAAGCCTTCTCTATGTCCAGCTTGCACATAATACAAGGATCCCCTGTTTTAATCCTCCAATCTAAAGTCTCATTAGCTATAAGTGCTGCATATGTGATCTGTCTATGTTTGATGAAGGCATTCTGGTGACTGGACACAAGTTTACCAATAACCTTCTTCAGCCTTTCTGCTAGCAACTTGGCCACAATCTTATAAACACTTCCAATAAGGCTTATTGGCCTATAGTATTTGAGCTCAATTGCCCCTTTCTTTTTAGGGATCAAGGCAATGAAAGAAGCATTGCATGATCTCACCATGTAACATTGCTGATGGAAATGGTTGAGAGCCCCCATCACCTCCGGTTTGATAAACTCCCAGGATTTTTGGAAAAAAGCCAATGTGAAGCCATCTGGACCTGGAGCTTTATCTGGGGCACATGAAAGAATAACATTATGCACTTCTTCTTCGTCAAACGCTTTCTCTAGCATCTCCTTGTCTTCCCCCGAAAGTGTAGCAACTTCTTCAAAATTAGCTCTAGGTCTCCATCCCTCATTCTCTGTGTACAGGTTAGAAGCTCAGAATCTCTTCTTTGATTTTTGCTTTGTCTTCTATTAATTCATCATCCACCTGGAGCTTGTCGATATTGTTGAATCTTCTGTGAGAGTTGGCAATTGATTGGAAGTACTTTGTGTTCCTGTCACCCTCTTTTAACCATTGACACCTTGATTTTTGTCTCCAAGATGTTTCTTCATGGTTCTTTACTATTACATGCCGTGTCATTTGCGCCCGTTAACTTAATATATTGTTGTTACTATTATTTGCTACTTGTTGCTTTATCTCCACTGTTCCTTGAGCCAAGGGTCTATCGGAAACAACCTCTCTATTTTTATAAGGTAGGGGTAAGGTCTGCGTACACACTGCCCTCCGCAGATCCCATTTATGGAAATACTCTGGGTTTGTTTTTGTTGTTACCACCCTCTTTAAGACAAACTTTAGGCGGTGAGGCGCACTCCTCTGAGTTTTGGTGTCAGTATCATAGCGCCAGCTTGGTTAGGCAAATCACCAAGCTAAGTTGCACCTAGCTTTAGAGCGCCTTTAATCATTGGGTTATCTGTTGGAATTCCTAGTCTTCGATAGTAGATTCTCTTCTTCCCTCATGATTCCACGAACTGTAGTTCTGCCAAGAGTAGAATGTGACTGTCCAACTGTTGTTATTTATGCTTGCGGACAAAGAAAAGTATAATTTTCAGTTTTTCACCTAGTGTAGGCATTGCATTCAACATTAACAAGTGAAGTATGGCTTGGTTGGAGAGACAACCAATTAGCTGGAAGGAAATTATTGTGCCCTATGTGTTGCAGTTTCCCAAATTGAATTGACATGGCCAGTTTTCAAGTTAAAATTTTGTTGGTCTTTGGTTTCCATTTTCTTCCCTGAACGTATGCATTAGCCAGCATAGCAGGGATTGATCATCATCTCAAAAGGTAATTAAAACAAAAATTATGCTACTTAACTGGGAAGTTTGACCCAAATATCCTCTTTTTTCTACTCCTTCTGGCTCTCCTGTTCAAATTTATTTGCAGATTTATGCCTGGGTAAAAACAATGTCAAACACTAGAAAAGCTTCTCCAGTCGGTGTATGGGAATTGAGCTGGAGAGACTACAGGCTGATCTACTGTATGATAACAAGAGGAAACATGGTTATATCAGTCACGACTTGTTTGGCCTTATAAAAGAAAGTGTTAAATTGTTTAAATCATGGAAATAACTTACCTTTCTGAAATGTTAAATTGAGGCAAAAGCTGGTTAACAAGATTCAGTTATTAACTAAGCTTCAGCAAGCTGAGTTTGCTGTACATTGTCTGGGGAATTGCCTAAGATCTTGTGATTTTGGGCAAAGTTACTCAGGGAATAAGGATGATTGTGTGGAAATGATATGAGGGTTTAGCTTCTTTTGACCTCTATGTAGGGAAATCCATGCTTCTTAGATGGACATTGCACCTGTAGAGAAGTCTGGTTTTAAAGTGTAACACGGAGAAATTAAAATTTTATAGGTGGAAAACCAATGTTGTTAAGCTGTACTGTTTTGCACAATATCTTTTTCCTAGATGGTAGACGTACATAACCATCCAGTTCTATATATTTTTGAATGATTTAGCTTGAGGCAAGGGAATGCCAAGCACTTAATTCAAATTTTATCGTAAGACAGTCTAAGGGATGCATGAAATAAAAAAGGAGAAAAAAGTATATGACAGTCCGGATAAAGAGGTTTTTGTTCCTAGATTTTTTTGGGATAAGATCCTTGATTGTACATCAGATTTTCTAATTAGATTCGTCTGTTGGGTTATCTGTAATTGCTACAAAAGTTTCAAAATCTCTTATTTTTTTTCTCTTGCTACATTCTCTTTTGGAACTAAGGGAGGTTACTTTTTTCACCTGTTTGCACTGCTGGAATCATAGTGTGTGCTAGAGATGAGTTTGATGGTTTATTTGTTTGTTTCATTATCNTTAATTATCTAGCATAAACACCAAAATTTTAATGGGAAGACTGCTCATAACTTCAGTACCATGTCTAATTGCACAGTTGACATATTTTTACTCCTTTTTTCATGAAATCTTGTAATGGTGATTGTTTCTAATTATGCTTATTTACCTTTGCAGGTGCGTGGCTCTCATGTTGGTACCTATCTCCCTAGTTCCGGAATTTGGCATCACACTCAACGGTTCCTGAAGAAAGGTGTTCCAAATCAAAGGACAATTAATCACTTGGACTTTGATGCTCCTACGCGTGAACATGCTCAGCAATTGCCTGATGACAAAGTATGCTCTTGCAAAGAAATTGACTTAATTATTTGCATGTGTCTCCATGTCTATCTCCTCCTGGATGATTTTGGATGGTGAAAATTTGTTAAATTTTTCGCTATTGACAGAAAAGCTATCTCTAGATGTCAGGATTATTAGAAGACCTTCTCTCTTCCTTTGATCATATCACTGTAGGCATACATTTACATATTGCAGAAACCACCATGCTTCAGCTTCTTTCTCCTGGGTATCTCGTATCTTCTTTCAACTGCATTATGCTTATCTTCATTCAGTTCATTCTTGGTAGTCCTTTTCGATTTGTGCATAGTTTATTAAGTGTCTCTGGTTTCCCTGTTTTCTTTATTGGTAAATTACATGAGAATGGGGACGTGGGGAGAGGGTGGAGAACAAGAAATGGAAAAACCATGATCTTTGTAGCCAACATTAGAAGGTTCATATTGGTGGGTTTTTCATGGTGCCTACATATCTCATTAACTGATGGCATGTGATGCTCTTTTTGCATTGAAAAACATCTTGTACCCATAGAAACAAGATGAATCTCTTCTGGAGGATGTCTGGACTCTGTTAAGGGCAGGGAGACTGGAAGAAGCATGCAGCCTCTGCCGGTCTGCTGGACAGGTATGCCAATCTTTTAGGGAAGTTTGACACCGTATCCTTTATTCTGATAAAAACATTGACTTGACAGTCATGGAGAGCTGCAACACTATCTCCATTTGGAGGGTTTGATCAGTTCCCATCCATTGAAGCCCTGGTAAGAAATGGCAAGAACAGAACCTTACAGGCCATTGAGCTGGAAAGTGGACTCGGTCATCAATGGCGTCTCTGGAAATGGGCTTGCTATTGTGCTTCAGAGGTAGGAAATAGGGTTAAAGTGATGGGGTTTTCCTGTTCAGTATCTAGCTTTCTTCTCGTCCAAAAATAATTTATTATTATGCAAGAGACATTGGGTTTAAGGATATCTGTCTCTGTTATGCCTTTTGCGTCATGATTATGTTTGAGAGCGCATGTTCTCCGTCTATGGATGTGCTGGTGTGGTTGTGTTGTATTTGAACTGATGAAACTTGTTTTCTTCTCTACATTGAAGAAAATTGCAGATCAAGGTGGCGGAAAATATGAAGCAGCAGTATATGCAACCCAGTGCAGTAACCTGAAACGCATTCTTCCAACATGTAGGGATTGGGAGGTATAACATTCCTGTTATTTGTCCATTTCGTAATGCAGTACTTTCCGTTCTTTAATCTGCATGATACTTGTTAGTTTGATAGTTAAATAGTAGTAAATAACCCTAATCCCATATGTATTAGGAGTAGGACA